TCCAGTCGTGGGGCCTGAACTCTGGGCCTGGGCGCTGTCCCTCAGCTCTTCAGCTCAAGGCTAGCGCTCTACCACTTGAGCCACAGCGCCACTTCTGGATTTTTTCTTATGTGGTGCTGAGGAATCGAACCCAGGGCCTCGAGCACGCAAGTCAAGTGCTCTACCACTGAGCCACCTTCCCAGCCCCTGTCCCTGAACTCTTAAGCTCAAGGCCAGCACTCTACCACTGAAGCTTAAGTGGTAGAGTGCTAGCCTTGAGTTGAAGAGCTGAGGGATAGCACTCAAGCCCAGAGTTCAAGCCCCATGACCGACCAAAAAAAAAAAAGAAAACGCTTCTTGTTTCCCATATCCTAGAGTTCATTTCAGTAAATATTATTTTATATGATCAGAGTGGACAGTGATACTCTAAAGACATTCCTTTTTTTAAATGTTTGGTCAGTCATGGGGCCTGAATTCTGGGCTTTGGATGCTGTCCCTCAGCTCTTCAGCTCAAGGCTAAGCTCTTTTCTGGGGTAAGGGTGTTTCATGGTTCTGACAATTGAATAGCCACTAAGCAAACACTGTAAGTAAAGAACTATTAAATGTGGGGCTGGGAAGGTGGCTCAGGGGTAGAGCGCTTGCCTTGCATGCCTGAGGCCCTGGGTTCAATTCCTCAGCACCACATAAGCAAAAAGAAAAAAAAAGCCAGAAGTGGCGCTGTGGCTCAAGTGGTAGAGTGCTAGCCTTGAGCTGAAGAGCTGAGGGGCAGCACCCAGGCCCAGAGTTCAAGCCCCCCCCAAAAAAAAGAACTATTAAATGCTGTAGATACAAAGAAAAACAAGACACACCTCTACACTCAATTTATAACTCTATATAAGGTGGTACCCATAATCCTAGTACTCAGAAGGTAGTAAGAACCACCTTCACCCCTCTGGGGTGCCAAGACTTTGAAACCTACCCAGCGGTAAAGAGATCCTCCCTGCTCCCTGCTGGGGCAGTGTAAGAAGAAGCTCAGTGAAAAGTGAACACTCTCACAGTTGACCAAGAGTAATAAAACCATCTCCTCCCAACATGGTGTCAGTGGAGGCCAACTGGGAAGCGAAGTGTCACATTCATATCCCTTTCAGCTAGAGAGGTATTGGTAGGGTTCTAAAGGAGAGCCAGAATTCCAATTCCTACACAGTAGTAACAAGTAGCCCCACACCAAGTTGTCAGTAAAAGTCAAGTGGAAGCTAAATGTCTGCTGCCAATAATGAGGCAGTGCTCCTACTTTCCATATTCAGAGACATAAACTAAAAAAATAAAAAGACATAATATCCCAAATGTCCACATTTCAGCCAAAAATCATCATGGCACAAAGAAACTGAAAGCAAGGTAATAAATATCAAAACTGAGGTAACAGAACATTAAGATTATTTGACAATTATAAAGAGGGAATCATAAAAATGCAATTACATTTTCAAAAGTGAACAATTACAAGCATCCTTGAAAAAAAAGCTTTTTCAAACATAAGGAACTGAAAAAATACAATTATAATTGAGGTCACTAGTTCTCTTTAAGGGAAGAAACATAAGGAAGGAAAAAAAACAAAAGCTGTAAAAAGAGCTGTGGCTCAAGTGATAGAACATTAGGCTTAAGAGGAAAAAGCTATAGGACAGCACCCAACCTCTGAATTCAAGACCAGTACAGCACCAAAAACAAAACAATAACAACAACAAAACTCTAACAATATAGATCCATGAACTTATACATAAACATAAAACTGCAAAATTTTTAGAAAAATAGAACCAAGTCTGTTGTAATATAATGTTAGACAAAGGGTCTACATTTGATACCAAAAGCATAATCAATAAACTTACTTTCACTTAAAAAAAATCTTTTAGGAAAGATAAAAAGATAAGCTAGAGTGAAACTATTTGCAAACCACATCTCTAACAAAGTACCAGCATCAAGAAAACAATTTAAAAAATACAACAGCTTAAAAACTACAGCTAGGGCTGGGAATGTGGGTCAGTGGTAGAGTGCTTGCCTAGCATGCATGAAGCTCTAGGTTCAATTCCTCACTCCTCAGTACCACATAAACATAAAAAGCCAGAAGTAGCTCTGTGGCTCCAGTGGTAGAGCACTGACCTTGAGCAAAAGCTCAGGGACAGTGCCCAGGCCCTGAGTTCAAACCCTAGGATCAGGAAGAAAGAAAGAAAGAAAGAAAAAGTAAAATTTGCTGGACTGGGAAGGTGGCTCAGTGGTAGAGCGCTTGTCTTGCATGCCTGAGGCCCTGGGTTCAATTCCTCAGC